CCTGCTACTAGCAGATAACTGGCCAGTATAACCACATGATTGAATATTGATCCAATTACACAAACACTATATATTGGACATTGAGTAATACAGCAAAAATCAGCTATTAGAGATTCAAACTTTATCTGTAAACATATTGTAAGACATCAATTATTCAGTTTATACTTGGGCCTACTTGTGAATTGTACAACTGTGTTATACTAAACAATTGAGTTATAATTATACCAACAATCATCAACTTGTTTATAGCAAACAAAAGAGTGCTCCATCCATATTTTCCTGAGATCCAGAATAATTTGATCTCAGGACTGAATGTTAACATTGAATCATATACTGCAAGGCCTGTATTGTATGTTTTATCAGTATATAAAAATTTGACATAATTTGGCTACTTGCTAATGGCAGATATTGTTGTCAAGTAAGCAGTGAAACTTGAAGAAAATAAGCCAAGATACCTGTATGAGCTGACTGAATACATACATTTGTGAGTGTACCTCTGTAATTTCTTGCTCAAATGTCAAGCTAGACATAATGATAGCACTGGTAGATACTTGTTGAGAGTGGATGCATTTTGTACAAACTGGTTTTGTATATATATATGTATTTGCTAGAGATCTCAACTCACTTGTACATAATATTGTGCAGGGTGCTCTTTTTCTCAAAGAAGAATATTGATAGATGGCAATAACTCTCAAGTGCTTCTACCTTAACAACCAACATAATCTGTATCTATACACAGCACAAGGGTCTCAGTCAACTACAGTTGAGACAGTATTACTTGTTGTCAGGTGCATCACTGCTCAGATGAGCTGATTAGACAATCAAATTTCTACATCAACAGCAGTATGCTGTGCATAGCTTCAATGTTCAGTTACATAGCTTCTTATGCTTAGAAACTGTCAATGTGATTGGAGCAAGTACATACATTGACCATTGCTGCAATATTCCACTTAGATCTACCAGGCAGACAAACAGTGAGGATACTAGTCTGACCTAATAGACTCATTCACCATCAATTATGTAGTTGAATCAATTATAAACCCACCAAATCATTGTGAGTGAACAGCATATGACCTTGATAGATCAATGATTGACAAGCCAAGCATCAAGAAAGTCTTGATCAATTTGACAGAACACATAGTTCAGATAAGGCTGTACTTAGCATTGCTCAAGTATCATGGCAGACATTGGTCCATGGATGTCCAGACATGTCAAAACCACAGTGGAAAAATGACGATAAGTAGTGATGTTCAAGTGGCATAGCAAACAAAGGCAGCTACATTGATGTGTAACAGGTAGTCCCCATCTGATAACAATCGAAGAGGCACCTGTGACACAGAGACGGAGCTCAGGAAGGAGCCAAAGACATGTGTCCCCCTATGTTCAAAGATGCAGTGACTTGACAAAAACACTCACGACACCCATACTTCGTTTTGAAACTGCAAACACGCCCAAAGTTATTTTAACTTGGATTTGACCGGGGAGGTCTGCTCGCCTACGCCTAGTAGGCAGCAGCCTACAGCGCCACCTCCGTGTTCGGATCGAACGAAGAATTGACAATGTTCCTAAGCAGAAAGCCACTGCGTCACCGTCAGGGTGGATATGAGATGCATACTATAGTGCGCCCACGAGATGTGATTCCACGTTTCATGCAATCAGTACAATGGCGAATGGTTTACTGACCTATCATTACAGCATAGATTGTTTTCGGATCCGTACACCACATAAATCGAATTCCTCAAACCAAGATGAGATGTTCGTATACCAGGCTGTGCTCTAGTAGCGAGCTCAACATTTGTCCCCGCCCTCAAACGAGTTCGTATCAGTGTTAAGCCCATCAAAACAATTGGCGGATGCCTACAACTTTGCAGAATCTCAGACCACTCATCCGCATAGTCTCGCGCCTGCACTGCTGGAAGTCGCCAGTGCACACCACGCAACCTCAGCTCAAATCCGAAGGCACCGCAGCAGCCGCAGCAATCCCGCATACCAGACGCGTCTCCAACGCAACTGAGAAATCCAATGGATATACCTAATAACAGAAATGTTTTCAGCGCTACGCGCATGGCCACTAATTCCGCTGGGGCAGGGAGAAGAGGTCGAGGAGGAAGTGCCAATCGTATCGTGCTCCACAAGTCGCTATGGCGGCTCATTTCGCATGATCTTCGTCTCTCGACTCACTCTCGACTGGAGATATCTTGCTGCATCTTCGCCTAAACACGCCACGGGGCCATCCAGCAACTTGTTGATCGTGACGGGTAAAGTAGCATGTACATTTTAGTCGTTCTTTCTTTCTTGCGCACGCGACGTCGTATGTGTTTGAGAAATCCCTCTTGCTCATCTTATAAAGACGGCGTGGTCGCGACTAAAGACCTTTGTCTTTATTCTCAAATATACCGAGGATGCGAGTGTCGAGAACGGCTGGCCGATTCGTCCCTCTAGCCCATATTGCAATGCTCTCCAATCAAGCATGAGAAGGTACAACACGTGAGTTTTGTAATTGGTACGCATCCTTAAAACTGCGACTCACTGCACATCCTAAGTCCATCCTCCGCGCTCTCCACTCTAGTAGCATGATCACTAGCACATCCATCTACAAGAACCGATCCCCCCCCTGTCCAAACGTGCCCGACCGCGACGACCGCTTCCCGACAAGCTCAGGGCCGACATTGAGCAATCCTTCAAACGAGGTAGCTCCGTTCTGTGTCTTGCGCAGCAGGGCGGCGTATATCGTTTGACGATTCCGAGGACGATAGTGTGTACTGCGCGAAGTGAACGTAGACGGTGTCGTCGAGATGTCAAATGCTTTCTTATAGTGAGATGGGCTCCTGTGAGATCAGCTAGAACAAGAGAGAACGCAGGCTATACATGAATGCTATTCCCCGCGCGCTCTGCGTTGGATTTCGGCACCCTTGTCCAGAGAGACACCAACCGTGTATTCACACCAACGTAGATAACTCTTCGGCCTGCCAAGCTGGGGCAGACGCGGGGTGATACGATGTAGGCTCCCAAGTCTGCATCCACCCGGGGCTTTAAAGGCGACGAGAGACGGCTGAAGCAGGAAATCCGCCCGCCCTATGAGTAAGGAAGTGACTGTGGGGCACAATCCCCCCAACTGCAGCTCAGCGACGGCTGAGGGGTGCCCCGCCGCATGCAGGTACCAGGCCGGCTGTGTCTGAAAGGCGTGAGATGCACATCACGGTCAGTCGTCCGGCATCCGATGCGCCTGCGCCCCTGGCTATGGCCTCGATCGTCTTGCGCGCCGGCTGGAACTGGCGGTGGAGTCAACGGCGGACGAGCGAAAATTGTTCGTGACCCAGTCTTGTCTTCCGACCGTCGGGTGTTGCGTGCGGGTCGCCTGGATGTTGCGCGACTCGATGGCACGTGCGGTGGGCGACATCGTCCAGAGTACTGTACGGTGTCTCTGCCAAGCGAGGTCGGAATGAAGGCGGGAAGGAGAGCGAGTGGAGGGGGAACGAGGTCTTGTCTGATATCCATCTCTTGCGCTCCCAAGTCGGGTGGTGCAACCCTCTGAGCAGGAACAAGAAATAAGTAAATGCGCCCTCGCAGTACGCACTTGGCCGATGTGCTCATGCCGCACCGCTGCCGTGGAGAAACACGGGGAGCCATGGGGAGCCTGCGCTGAGGATTCACCATCCGGTAGCGGGACCTGATCGCCCGTCCTAGTAAGTGCGACGTACTAGTCAGATGCTCGCTGGCGCACTGGGCTTGACCGGACGCCGTCTCAGAGCCTCATCCGTCCGCCTATCCCCATCCCCGTCCCTGCCTCCGCTGTCGCCCTCGCAGCCTTCCAGGTACCTAGCCCGCTACTCACACGCTCCCGCACAGACCGCCGCGCGACCGGCGGGGGC